CGTCTTTGGGAGGTGGAGGTCGTTTTTTCTTCTCGTGTAATAGCTGTGAATGTCTTCGTTCTTTGTTAATTCAAATTTAAAGTCAATTAAATCATTTATAAATAAATATACATCTATGGTTATGTCTCCTAGTTTTAAGTGTTGTCCATTTTAGTCGTCGTAGTGCTTCCGTTGCAGAATAGCGTGGATGTTCATCTAAGATCATATGAGTGCAATGGTAAGAATATTTTCATTCGGTGAAAGATGGAATGTTCCATTCAACGAGGCGACAGCCGAGTTGAATGGAACATTCCATCTTTCACCGAATGAAAATATTCTTACCATTGCACGAATAAAACTGACATTCATTATTTGTTTTATATAATACCAAAATAGATTAATATTAAAAGGTTTACTATAAGCTCCCGCCATTTTGACGAGTCGTATTTGCATTAAATCCCATTTACTGAGTTTCGAATATCGGGTTAAAATAAACTGCGATCACCGTACGAGAAGCATTTTGACGAATGCGATTTATCGAAAACACAAAGAGTGCAATGGAATAAAACGTATATTACAATTGCACTCGCAAGAGTGCAATGGAACGTATTCCATTGCACTCTTGGGAAATGGAATTTTCTATTCAATATCACGTGACCATAAACAGCCAATTAAACGATCAGAATTCAATAAGGTATTTTATATTATACAAATAATGAATGTTTATGAGTGCAATGGTAAGAATATTTTCATGAGGTGAAAGATGGAATGTTCCATTCAACGAGGCGACAGCCGAGTTGAATGGAACATTCCATCTTTCACCGAATGAAAATATTCTTACCATTGCACGAAGAAACATTCATTATTTGTTTTATATAATACCAAAATAGACTAATAGATTCGTATGAGAAGCATTTTGAGGGATGCGATTTATCGAAAACACAACGAGTGCAGGGAAATGGAATTTTCTATTCAATATCACGTGACCATAAACAGCCAATTAAACGATCAGAATTCAATAAGGTATTTTATATAATACCTTATTAAATTCTAATCATTTAATTGGCTGTTTATGGTCACGTGATATTGAATAGAAAATTCCATTTCCCAAGAGTGCAATGGAACACGTTCCATTGCACTCTCCGCGAGTGCAATGGAATAAAACGTAT